TAGAGTCAAGGAAGTTATTAGAGACAAGAAGACATCCTTTAAAAAAAATGAAGTCCTGCCCAAATGAGGAGAGCAAAAAGAAACATAAAATTAGGCACAATGAAGTCAAAGGTGTGCTTTAAAAGAGGTTAGAGAATCAGAGAAGTTGAATAATTTTTGTCTTCACTGTGGAAGATGCAGGGCAAATACCTGAACCAGAACAATCATTCTTTCCATGTTATCAGGGTTCACCCTTAAGCATCATTTGACAAACCTTGATTTCAAAATCTGGTTAACATGGAAACATTAGTTAATCATTGTTGGTATCAAATCCAAGGTAAACTAGGGAAGAGAGGAAATAATTCATCCCAGGGAAGCAAAGGAGAAAAGAGAGGGAGTATGCCTTTATAAGCCATAATTTGGAATCTGTAGCTAGTACAAGATGCTCAGTTGAGCAGCCAGATTTGTACACATTTGCACACAGGGCTGAAAGATCTACTGCCCATGAGCTACTAAGCCAGGTTCAAAATTGTGGTTACTGACATTTGAAGCACTAAACAGCTTGGTAACAGGATAACTAGAAGGCTGCTTCTTCTAGTACTGTACAGAACAATCCAAATCATAAAAGCTTTCAAGGAAACCTTGCTGGGCAGTCACTTGGTTTGGAGACCCTGCCTACTCTGAACGGTATGTAAGCCAGCTGACTGTGGCCCCTTGGTGTGCATCAGGACTAGGTTAACATTATTCACTTGTGTAATAATTTTGATTTAGTATTTGTCATGTGACAAGTCTAGATTATTTCAATGTAATATTGATTTTCCCCCTACATTTATCGACAGTTGGCTTATTGTTCCTCGAGTCCACTATGGTAGGCATTTTGATAGTGTTAAATGTTTTACTGTGAGTCATTTTGGGCACAGTTTGCTGTGGAAAAGGAGGACATGGCTAAACAAAATATTAATAGGTGGTCAAGATAAATGTGTGTTCTGCAAAAATCCCAATCTATGTGTGGCTCTTTGTAGACTCACTGGTTGTTCATCCTTCCTGCAAAACATTCCCCAAAGTCCTGAAGTAATGTGTCCAAATTTTCTGCATATTCAGTAAGATCTCTGCTGTGCTCCAAAGAATGCCTCTGGAGCACAAAGAGTTTAGTTGGGGGGTGGGGGAAGATCTGCACAAGGATCACATGGTGATGTTTTGCAGTTAAAGGAAGAACACATACACACTTTTGGCCACCGAGTAGTGCACGCCATGCCAACCCCCTGAAAATTTCTCAGAAAAGAGGCAGAAACACAGTGAGTGGTAGTGGAGGAAGAGTTCCCCAAAATGGTGGATGGGGTTCAGTCCTGTACTGGTATAACCAGATCAAAGAATCTGTGGCACAGAAGTGAAAAAACAGCATTTTAATATCTTAATGTTGATTTCGTCTATAATAAAGTACCACATCATTCAGCGTTTCTTTGGAGGGGGTTATGCTGTGATTTTTATTTTTAAAGCTAAGGTTGATTTGAAGGGCAGAAAAAGAAAAGAAAAGAAAAGAAATCATTTCAGAGTTTCCATGAATTACATTGCGGAATGATATTTGAAATAAAATTGAGAGGTGAAAAGTATGCAGATGTTATAGAAGACAAATTAACGACTTGAACATAGGGGCATTTCAAGTATTATTCCCATAGCAACTAAAATTTCCCTCTGCCTTTGGTGTTTCCGCTAATAGACATCAATCCTTCAGAAAAGAAATAGTCAATTGGCAGAATGCCACCTACATTACAGTGTATGGCTCTGGAGATTCCTTGTACTAACCCCCAAAACAGGACTGTGGCTGATCACATGTTTTCCCAGTACAGCCACATACACCTGTTTGCCAAGGGGCTTTGTCTTAATGTGATTTGTATAGAAAGCTGCATTTCACAAAAAAACACTTTTTTTTAAAAGTACTATAGCCCTGTTCTATTGCATAAATTCTTTTTCTCATCCACTGGAGGCTAAAAACAAAACAAACTCCACCCCCTGTAGATAGTCACGAACGTGCTCAAAATGATGAAATTGGGGTGGGGGTGGCAGATGTTTAAATTAAAAACAGAACTCCCTTGCATATTTCAGACATAATTTTTATTCCCATTAGCCTTTCCCAAAGCACTGGAACAAGTTCCGTATTTGCCTAAATGCTTCCCTATTGTAAAATTTCCAAAGGGTTGGTCTGTTGTATCTGAATCAAACAATACTTTCACCTTAAAGGTAAAGGTAAAGGTACCCCTGCCCGTACGGGCCAGTCTTGACAGACTCTAGGGTTGTGCGCCCATCTCACTTAAGAGGCCGGGGGCCAGCGCTGTCCGGAGACACTTCCGGGTCACATGGCCAGCGTGATGAAGCTGCTCTGGCGAGCCAGCACCAGCGCAGCACACGGAAATGCCGTTTACCTTCCCGCCATAAAGCGGTACCTATTTATCTACTTGCACTTAGGGGTGCTTTCGAACTGCTAGGTGGGCAGGAGCTGGGACTGAAAGACGGGAGCTCACCCCGCCGCGGGAATTCGAACCGCCGACCATACGATCGGCAAGTCCTAGGCCCTGAGGTTTTACTCACAGCGCCACCTGCGTCCACTTTCACCTTAAAGACCAACAACTATCATTGCATAAGCCTTTGTGGACCTGGCTTCCACTAAAAAACAAGAATTATGATGATGATGTTCAAGCGAGTTGCCCAAGGCATTTAATATTTTGCATTAATATATATACTAAGCATTTATAGATCATTACAGTGGTACCTCTGGTTAAGAACTTAATTCATTCTGGAGGTCCGTTCTTAACTTGAAACTGTTCTTAAGCTGAGGTACCACTTCAGCTAATGGGGCCTTCCACTGCCGCCGCATGATTTCTGTTCTCATCCTGAAGCAAAGTTCTTAACCCAAGGTACTATTTCCGGGTTAGAGGAGTCTGTAACCTGAAGCGTTTGTAACCTAAAGTGTTTGTAACCCAAGGTACCACTGTACAAAGTGCTTTTCACCACAATCACCACAGAACACCCTCTTTCAAGTAGGATTTGACTTGTTGCTGCTCACATATTTTGGGTTGAATTCCCAAGCACTGGTCAACTATAACAAGCACATACTTGGAGTATGGCATAATTCCTAATCTGAGTTGTGTATGTAAATCATTACATGACAAGAGTAATATCCAAACATTCTATACAGAGAACCCTACAGTCATGCATGAACATTGTAATCTCTCCAACTAAAATGAAGATTCCCCTCCTACGTCACTCTTGTGCTATAGCAGCAGATCCACTTGTGAAAACATTGTCCAACCTGATGGGGAACCTGTTGTAGCATGATTAAGCCCAAGAACCCTGGAACAGCAATTAACACTGCAATTCACAAGTGCTGTAAAGCAAATATTACCTTCATTTTTCCCCCACTAGCCTATAAAATTTCTTTAAACAGTATACTTTCAACAGGGAAATCCCTCACAAGCTTAAAAAGTTTTCTGATGTTCTAAAAGTGGATAATTTGAAAGGGAATCATAACTGACATTGAAACTGCATTCCTGAGAATCTCCGGACAAGTTGGTAGATAATATTCAAAAACACGCAAGGATTTCTGTGAAGGGCTCATGTTTTTAAAATAAAAACAAGTCAGTCCTGATCTTACCCAACACTACTTCTTGGGCCCATGTAAAAAGAGGGGGGAGAAGAGTTTCCAGACTCCTATTTCTTGTTCGAAATAAGGTAATTTAGAAAGAACATGTCAAAAACCGTCAAAGGAAGTGCTGTTTCCACACTGACAGAGCATGGTATGTGCAAGCCCTTGCACAAGTAGGGGTTTTTTTTAGAGTGCAATCCAATGCACATTTACTTGAAGCAAATCCACTGTGTTCAGTGCAGCTTACTCCCAAGCACACATATTTAGGGTTTGTTTTGCAGGTAGCGTGCCTCCAAAGAGCTGCTAAATCACATGCTAAGCATGCAGAACTTCCCATGTTTAATCCCTGGTGTCTCTAGAACAGGGGTTGGCAAGGTTTTCCTCGCCTGGGCCGGTTCACTCCAGCAGAGATCCCTCCATGGGCTGGATTGAGTGTGCACATGAGCGCGCGCGCTCGCAACCTCCAGCGTTTGCACTTGCGCAAATGCGATTTCTGGCGCAGCGGAAGCGAGTCCCCACGGCGCGCTGGTATAGCGCAGGCGGAGACTCCCCGAGTGGGTGGCTCGATTCAGGGGTGGCTCGTGGGCCAGTTAAATGACCCCTTGGGGCTGCTTGTGGCCCATGGGCCTTAGGTTGCTGACCCCTGCTCTAGATAGAGTTGGGAAAACTCTTCCCTGAAACCCTGCAGAGCTGATGCCAGTTAGTGCAGAAAATATAGAGTTAAATGGACCAATAGGCTGATTTGGTACAAGGTAGCTTCCCATCTTCCATTGGAGGCTGTCGTGTACACATTAGGAATTGTTTAGTTGATTAGTCTTTTTATCAGTTGAAGAGCTCCAGTCAGGAAGCAGGCACCATTAAAACATATTTGTGAAATTACTTTAAAAACCTGGTGCCATCTTGTAAGAGACAGTACCCCTCTCTCTTACACACATATACAAATTGCTCTTAAGTTGGTGCCTGCTGCGACACATGCATGCATGATCTAAATGCAAATAAATTATCCTTTTTTGATAGAAGTATTGTTTATCTTCAACTTTATACATATTAAGGCTGCTCTCCTATGTACATTTATCTGGGAGCAAATCCCATTAAAGACAGAGCAAATTGCTTCCAAGTAAGAATAAACTTAGTTAATTAATTATACAAGCTTTAATTAAGATTCTTTTAATCAGTTGATAATTCCAATTTTGACAGCTTCACTCACAGAAGTCTAACCTTAAGACATTTTTGCCTAGCTAGCGTGAGATGGCTATAAGCACAGTCTTCAATATGCAGAAACTACAGCCAAGAAAACTCTCTCAACAAGAGACGAACTTAAAATTTGCATTCAGATTCAAGTAGGGCAACAGGTTCTGAAAGGTATAAAATTACTACATACCTTGCGCAAGCATATTGAACTCCAGGAAGAGAGCAATGTGGTAAAGTTCCATAGCTTCTTCAGCCCTTGTCATGTTTGGCTTTCCTGCTACAAGAGCCTGAACTTCGCTTAAACTCCCCACTGACGGACTGCTGTGCAAAATAGAGAGGTCCACCAAATCTGTGTACATACAGTTTAAAATCACTCTCACGTATTTTTTTGGTATGATAGATTCATCCAGTATAATCCTTGTTGGAGTCCTTAGCGTTCGATCTGTGATTTCTTCACCGGTCCGTATTCTCCGCTGTAGTAGATGTCGAAAAAACGGGGACCGTGATGAAATTATAGCTTTGTGCGCTCTGAGCTCCTCATCTAAGCAGCTCTGACTTCCACCATAAGCTTCTACCAGTTCAGAGTCAGAGGAAAAGCTGAGAACCACATCATAGTAACACATGTAGTCCAACAGCCCTCGCATATCAACATCTAAAGAATTTGGTGTCCCAAATTCTTCACTGAGCTGCATAAGGATGTCAACGTTTTGAAATCTCGAGTCCTCCATTCCAAATTCTCCTGTGTACAAGTAGTGTAACAATGCAGAAAACATGGGCAGGTCTATACCAGCTGTGTTGATATCCATTATAATCTCTGCACCGTACTCCGGTGAAGAAGAAAGTAGGGTCTTAAAAAACGGGCACCTTGCAGCCAAAATTGCACGATGCACAGGGAAGCAAGTCTCTTGAAATATTAGATCTACATCCGTACAGTATTTGAACTCATACAGTTCAGCCATGTCTTTCTGCAACGTTCTGGCTTCTGGTCTTGCCAAACTAGCTTGTAGAGAAAGCTCTTTTAAGGCTAATGTTCCTTCATACTCTTCCACTAACGCATTGACATCTCTAACATCCCAGCCTGAGAGTAGCTCACGCATCTGCTTGGCATGATCGGCAGACCGGCTAGACTTTCGGCGCTTAATAAACTTCTTTTTGAGGGTGGCAAGCCCAGAGCTTTTCTTTTTCTTGTCTTGAGGTTTCTCATGGCCATGGTCAAGGCTATACAGTTTGGATTCACAGCCATAGCCTTGATGAGAATAGGAGGATGTTCCTGAAACAGAAAGGAGAACTGTGTGTGGATCTAATACGGAAAACCCTGGAACACATGGTAGTTAAATGTGTGCAGCAAGCATGTTCTATGCTTAAGATAATATTTTATTCTCTTGCTAATTGTACTCTTTTAAAAGGTGCATTTTACATTTAACTTCCTTAAGTAATGTTTTTTTTTGAAATGTTAATTTTTTGTTAACTTTCTGCATTAAATGTGCATTCTGTAGCTGACCTCCTTTGTAATGCTTTAGTCTGAAATCTTTAAGACAATATTTTAGTTTCCTGTTAATTATGTTGCTATGAATTTATGTTATACAAAGTGGTACAGAAATGAAATAAACAACAACTACAAATAATAGTAATAATAATAATAATAATAATAATAATAATAATAATGCTAGCAGTTATACTATTATACTAAGTGATCTATAGTGTTAAGTGACTTACAATAACAAATTGCCAAAACACAATAATAAAAACAAAAACCTTCTATAAAAGCAAAAAGTAGAGCAAAAAAAGTGGACCAACCAAGTCTACAACCATGGACTCAAAAGCAGTAACACGCACAGGAATAATTTTACATTGGCAGTCATCAACTTGTCAGACCTAGGACCAACACTTAGCCCTAACCTGCAGTACAGAGACACTTTTTAAAACACTGAATGTTCCCATTTCACTCTCATCAGACCCCCCTCCCCTCTTTCTGCTTCTCTTAAAAAGAAAACAGCATTGGCAATGTTGTCCTGTCTTCGGTCAGAGGGGTACCAACCTATCGGTTAAAGACCAATGCCTTAGACAACAAGAAGATTGAGTTCCCTCCTTTTCACATCAGCTACAAAAAGGAGAACTGGCCTGAAACTATAATCATTTATCTGGAATATGTGACTAAGTGGAAAAATCCCACTTGATTTCCTGTGGTTTCACTATTTTTATCTATTTTATGTCTGTTCATTATTCTGTTTCTGAGGACTATTCATGTTTGCTAGTCATATACGGTCTTCTGGAAAGCCAGTACACTGAGATATCTTACAAAGGATACATTTTTTATTTATTTTAAAGATAACTGCATCCTGCTTGCATCATTTATCACAGAGATAAGTGGCTCCACAGGACAGATCATTACTGGGATAGGCCTCGCAGGGCAAATTTGACAGGCAAGCAGGCAATCACATGCCATTATAGTGGTACATAACTGCCAGGTGGGCACCACTGCCCACCTCTCAATATCCCTTGCATGGGGTTTCCATGCACCCTGGTTGTCTGGCTCGTGGGAACCTGCAACTGCTGCAAAGCTGTTTTGTTGATTGCAAAGGGATTGAAGACAGCTCCTGCAGTCCCATGTGAGCCTCTGGAGCCTGAAACAGAAGTGTGGGTGGTGCTCTTGGAAAGCCCTTTGCAAAACCACTCTTTGAAGCAGTGCCCCCCTGCTTTTAACATCACTCAAGCAATGCTTAAAAGGAGGGAAACTGCTTCAAACAGCAAGTTTGCAAAGGCCTTTAAGGCAATCCCCACACTTCCACATGAGCCTGCGAAGACTCACACAGGAGCCTTAAGGCACTTTGCAGAATTGGTCTTTGTAGAAGTTCCATGCTTCTCCTTTAAGAGAGCATTGGTGGGGAGAAGAGAAAGAAGCCTGCAATGTACAGGCTCCTTTGTCTTCTCGCCTGCCCTCTTGCTTAAATGAGGCACAGGTGATGTAAGCTGATGGGCAGGTGCTTTAAGGAAAATGACTTTGTGGGACAAATTGGACTCCCCGTCAGGTCAAAATATCAGCTTGCAGACCAATTCAGAACCTTCTTCTATTCACATTATTCCTCTGGGTAAGCTTAGCATCTAAAAATCCAAGATTCATTCTTAAGAATGTAATGGTAAAGGTAAAGGGACCCCTGACCGTTAAGTCCAGTTGCAGACGACTCTGGGGTTGCGGTGCTCATCTCGCTTTACTGGCCGAGGGAGGTAGCACCTAACAATGTGAAATGTTTGTAGTCCCATGACAGACATAGAAAGCACTTCTGTCTTAAACTGTTTGTACCTCAAGGCAAACTGATGCCTGTTTACGTAACAATATCTATATCTGATTAAACTGATGCCATGCAAAGGTACCTCATGCAAAGGTTTCATTCAACTTCTATATTCCTTTTCACTCTCTTGTGCTTTTGCGTAAGTATCGTATACTAGGCCCAAGTATAACACAGAGTTTTAATCCACTAGCAAATACTACTTTTCTTAGCTGCCACTGCCTTATGGTGTCTTGGATAGGCCACAAAACAAAAACAGAAGGCATGAGAAGCAAGGTCTCTGGCCCTGTCTCATCTAACCAAGTTTCTGAGCTCTCTTGCTGATCTGGGCATGAAGCCAAGTGCATAATCAAGCAGTCTTAAGATGACTGTGTTAACAACATAGGTGAAATCTAATACTGATAACTAGTCAGTAAGAACTCTTTAAAATAAATAGATTATATTAGATTGAAGTACATAGGAACAACATAAAAAAAGCCCCTCACTTAGACAAAATCCTTCCTCTGGTGGATTGGATAATACTACTGAGCAGGAGATATAAGCTTGTAAATTCCAAAACGTTAATTTTTCTAAACTATTTCAAATATGGAGCAAACCAAAAGGTGCCTAGCTCATGGGATCAAAAAAGAAAGCACCCCCCCCCAATGATACACTCTGTTTAAAACAAACTGTAGATGATGTGACAAAATTGTTGTTCCACCCCTCCAAAATGAACCAATAATTATTGTTAGGGGGAGGTCATGTAAAACACCAATCAAGACTAGGCAAGTCAGGGATGACATCATATGCCATCAAGTCTCCTGAAGTTTGTCCTGCAGCAGCTATTACCATTTAAATGGGTGAGTCCAGGACAGAACATGTTTAGAGGATGCCCTGCCAGGTAACAAATTAACATATAACAAATCAACATTTCCACCTGGGAGGTCCAGGAGGATAGGTCAGCTGTGTGACAAAGAGGATTAGGTTACACTAATCTGCAAGCTTTATGATGGAGGGTGTGCTGAATCTCGGCAACATTACGTTATGTTGCAACAGTTTCATTGTTTCACAGAAGGCATGAAACAAATCTGCTTTGCTTACATATAAAATCCTACATAGATATGCTTGTTCCATTTTAATTAAGGGCCAAGAAAGCAACTCAACAACAATTCTTACATTTCCATAGAACAATACTTTTGGGACTGTCCTGAAATCCATTTTAAAGATACTCTGCAAGTTCATTATAATTACTTTCAGTACCCTCTTAATATGGATTTGCATTCAGACTCTTCCCTGTTCAATTCCACAAGTTGGTTGTAGCTTTCTAAAGGAAAGCTTGAAAAAGAGGCCCAACCCTGCCTTGTCCCTGCTACACACACCTGGGGCCATTTTACCATGGATCCTAAAAGGCAGTTCAAACAAAAAAGATCTAACATGACTTCCAAAAAATGCTCCAGAGAAAATTGAACAAAAACCAGGCTTGCTGCAAGTTGGAAATATTCAAGTAGTAATTGAGGCTTCAAGGGAAGCCTCCAAAGGACTTAGGGTTAATTAATACCCAAGATTTACCTTGAGCAAGAACAATCTTGCTATTAAGTCTGATGGGCTAACAATGAGACGTTATTTTAATAGTGTACTTATTCCAAGTTTGTGCCAGAGGCAAAACCTGACAAAATCATGGCGTTCAAACACCAAACTTCCAGGAAGCCTAGTTTTTAATTCTGAAATCTGCAGTCTCCTACTAGTTTCCAGACCCACAGTGTTGGAGGGTGGAAACTCATTTTTGTTAAGTGTGTTCTCCTTATCTGATCTGGCCTTTTATTTTGTGGCAGCTGAGAGAAAAATTTTATCCATGAGAAACTGACTTGCAAAACACTTTGAACTTTAGAACAACTTCCACATGCCACAGCTTACACACACAGCCGAGCAAATTGTATTTTAAGGGGTAGCTGATTGCCCAATAAAGCTAAAGTGACCCTTGTTCACTCCTATTACTAATGCACATATACTTTACTTACAGTGGGGCTTGGGATTGCGCCAGCCCACCCTGCTGCTTGCTTATGAGCCTAGATGTAAAATGCATATGGAACTTAAAACAATAGAATGATATATCTCTAGGATCAAAAATCTGTGGTTGTATCCAATGCCATCCAAGTGATGACACATGTGCAAGGGGAATTTACTGCCCCTAGACAGGAGACTCACAGCAAAATATTTGGATGTGGGGAAGAAGGTTGCTTGTGGGAGAAACTGAAAATCAGGTCGAGGCAGCACCATTAACACACTGTAGAAACTGGTAGAAGGGCAAGATGAAAACTAGATTCACAGAAGAAACAAGGAACGAGGTAAAAAACAACAACACGGACCCAATTTTGACATAACAATAAGCACTGGATTATTGTTACATGCATAAGCCTTTGTCTCATGCATCCCATCTTCTCCTTTGGCATAGCCTTAAGGAGACTGAGAATTTTTACTTCTGATTTCAATTAGCCACAGTTTAGCATTTCGGCCACATTCTAAACTGTGCTTGGTCTTAACTATGGTTAGTTGGAACAAGATAGCTGCATAACCCATGTCTTGAAGCTGGCGTGTTTCAGCTAACCATACTTAAGAAGGCCAATGCGTTTGTCAGGCTTCAGACATCACAACAAGTGTGGCTGGTTTAAAAGAGATGTGAAAACTTCCATACACCTTCCTGCTGCACCTGAGGGGAGGAGCTAGTGAAGGAGTCTGGGAGAGGCTAGGCATGCTCTCTTGACATTGAGACCATTGTCACCTTGTAGGGACACTTTTTGATTTTGCCATCCAGGGAGTTTGAATAAATACTACAATGCATTTAATTCAAGGTAAGTATTCCAAATGTTATAATTACAAAGTACATCCAAAACAGATAAAAACAATTTTGCCATGGTAGTTACCAATTATGAACATATTAGACCAGTTCTTTTTCACCTTGGTTGCCTCCAGATTGAGTTCTGGGGCCAAATCAAAGTGCTGTTTTTTACTCATTAAACCTGCATGGCTTGGTATTTTCCTATATATATCTAACATCATCAGTGAATGCCCTTTGTCAAATGCCTCTTAATCCTATTTAGAGATTGGCTGCACAAGCAGAGAATCTTCACTACTGAGCCCCACCCCCAATTATAGGATGCTCTCCCTAACCCTACATTAAAAAAATTCAGTGCCTAATACTTTGCACAGCCTTGATGAGGTTTTGATGTTTGATGGTTGAATAACCTTAATTTAGTGCCGAAAAGAAGTTTAATCTCTCCTGGTTGGATGCATGTTTTAACCTTATAAGACTGTTATTTTCCTTTTATGTCAGTGGATATGCTTAGAGTTACACTGTACTGCCCTGGTTGTTGGCTTTTAGTGTTTACTTGAGTCTATTTATGATTTTGTTAAGTCCTTTTATTTGCTCATTGCTCAGAGAACATTGTTACAGAATGACTCATAAATGTAATAAATGGAAATTATGTGAACCCACAAAGTTCACAGTATCCTAGTATCTTAGATCTATATAACTTGCTAGTCTTTCTCCTTTCTTTCTTTCTTTCTTTCTTTCTTTCTTTCTTTCTTTCTTTCTTTCTTTCTTTCTGATATCACAAGAAAACCTATGCCCTGGAAATTAAAACTTAAAGGCAGGAGAAACTTACCTATGAATGTCTGTTGTGCCTGAGAATTTCCCCCTACCCTTGGGGAACACGAATGAGGGTAGTTCGAGGCATTAGCACCCATTTTCTTCAGTCACTCAGGCATTCCACTTGCTGGCTCATCAGCACACAGTTCCATAATCCATTATAAAACTTCAAGACATGGCTCAGGTAGGTTCTTTGCCTCCATTTCTGAACAAAAAAAAGAAGAATCATAATCACTGCTGTCTTCCCAAGTACACAGCTGTACTTAATACTGTACTTAATTCAGTAAGAGAACATTCATTATGACAAATACCTGAGTGAGAAAAACGCATTTAGAATGCAAAAGCAAAATCAGCAGTGCTGCTACAGTTTAAGAGATTGGTAGCCCAATGTTATGCATGTTTGCTCGGAAGTAAATCCCACTGTATTCAGTGGGGAATAGTGCAGCTTTAAAATGTTTAAAATGTTTTCACACATTACATTTAAACCACAGCAGTTTAAATAAATGCAAAATCTGTGGTAGCCAATATGGACATTTTCAAGACAATCCTATTTCCCAGCTCAATGGATGGCCTTATTTCCGTCAGCTTAACCCAACACGGGCTTGCCGTGTACCTTGGAGAAAAGTTGGGTTCTGTGTTCAAAATTAGCCAGGTGCTTTTTGCTACCGGTGTGGGTCCAACTGCAAATACATGGAGATTTCTGGGTGCCAGGTTAGCGACCACAGTTTAAAAACCTCTGCCTTACTCCATAGTTAATACCATTTCCATTTCCACTGTGTGTGTTTCTCCTTCTTGCATACTGGGACAAGTACATTGTTGTAAGAGCAAGCTACAGTCAAGCAGTAGAGACCATAGAATGATGGAATTGTAGCATTGGAAGGGATCACGAGGGTCATTTAATCCAACCACCTGGTGAACAGATATTCTGTTGGGGCAACCACAACCTAGATTCAAGGTGCTGTTTGGCGCCTAGTTTATATACACCCGAGTTTCTAACTGGTTGGGTTATAAAGGCAATAAAGTGCTGTGTATGAGGGACCAGTTCTTACTGCACACTTTCCTTGTGCTGAAAATATGCCATCATCTAATACCAAGTTATCTGTTCAACTCAGGTCCTCCTGCGCCTTTGATGATGCTATCCCAGCTTTAATTGTTGTTTAGATGTACATTTTTATATTCTTAATGGTATCTGAGAAAAAATCACTTCCTATAAATGTTTCAGATGTGCAGGTATAGTGGTTTTATGCAACTCATGAGCACACAAAAAGTGCTGTTGAAAATCTGTCTGTCTGTCTGTCTATCACCTGCCCTTCATCCCAAGGTCCAGGGCAGGTCTCAACATTAAAAGCCATTAAAAACAACTTGCACCCATATAAATAAGATGGGTCCTAAAAATATACACCTTTGGGACAGATACAATGGAACCTCAGGTTACATACGCTTTAGGTTCCATACGCTTCAGGTTACAGACTCCGCTAACCCAGAAATAGTACCTCGGGTTAAGAACTTTGCTTCAGGATGAGAACAGAAATCGTGCTCCGGCGGTGTGGCAGCAGCAGGAGGCCCCATTAGTTAAAGTGGCACGTCTGGTTAAGAACAGTTTCAGGTTAAGAACGGACCTCCGGAACGAATTAAGTACTTAACCCGAGGTACCACTGTATTGGACTACTGTAATCTGCTCTATAGGGGGCAGCAGCTCCTAGGCCTTGATCAAAAGCTGCAACTGGGGCCAAATACTGGGGCCAAGAAGGCTGTTAGTACACTATACCCTTGGTTCGAATCCGCATGACGAGGTGAGCTCCTATTGCTCTGTCCCATTGCTCTGCTAGCTTCTGCCAACATAGCAGTTCAAAAGCACACCGGTGCAAGTAGATAAATAGGTACCGCTGCAGTGGGAAGATAAACCGTGTTTCCGTGCGCTCTGGCACTCATCACGGTGCCCCATTGCGCCGGAAGCGGTTTAGTCATGCTGGTCACATGACCCAGAAAGCTGTCTGTGGACAAACACTGGCTACCTCGGCCTAAAGTGAGATGAGCGCTGCACCCCATAATCCAGGGGTCCTTTACCTTTTTTACCTTTACCCTTTTCTGATTGGCAGTTTGCACTGGTTGCCAATTTGCTTGTGAACCAAGTTTACGGTTCTGGTATTGACTTATAAAGCTGAAAATAACTTAAGACCCCATTATCTAAGGCAATGCATTATCCCACCTGAACCTGCCAAGCCACTCATATCTTCAGAGGAACTCCTCCTGGAAGTGCCTCAGCCTGATCTACTTGACCAGGCATCAAGCAGGAACAGGGCTCTCTCTGCAGCGGTGTCTGCATTATAGAACAGTCTCCCCAGAGGGACCAGACAGGCACCTCAGTAACATATTTCTGATGGCAATTAAAAACACTTTTGTTCACCTAGGAATTTGTGGATTGGGAATTGCTGGCTCTATTTATTGCGCTTGTGCAACTTATTTGGTATATTCTGTTTTGTTTGAACCTAACATTGTTGATCAACCTGTATGCTGCTTTGGTAAACCACATGAAAAGCAGTACAGAAGTATTTTCAGAAATAAAATAATGAGTAGAGATGCGTGTGGTTGTAAGTCAATGTAACTGAGTTGTGATATGTAAACCTACAAAATGAGATGTGCTGCATGCAGGATCTTGTATGTGAAGCAATGGAGGCACTCCCTTCCCTGTAGCGCTTTTGAGTCTAACAAAAAACTGGGTGTGTGAGAGTGAGTAAAACAGCAGACAGATCTTGAGATACAGTACTGTGCTGCTCTGGCCACATGACCCCAGTAACCCAAGCCATGCACATGGGCAAGTAGGAACTCTCTTTGACAAAGGGTCACCATTTTTTGTTGGGTCCTGTCTGCAAAGAAAGACAGTTACAGCCATCTACTCAGGTTCAATTAAAACGGACCATGGTCAGCAATGCTGTGAAGGGGACAAGATCAAATGGACTTGTTCCAGAAAAACATGTTTTACCTTTCTCTAATTGCAACATACCATACTGCGTCATAAGCAGTGCATTATGCCTCCACAACCACAGGGGCCAATCTTTTTTCTTATCTGTGGGGTACATTTGGCTGAAATGAAACCATTCCTTTTACAAATTAACAGTTCTGCATGAATCTCAAGGGAAATTTCTAGAAGATCATGATTCGCTGGAACTTGACCCAACTAGCATGAGCAAAAAACACCCAGCGATAAGCAACCGGTGTTGGAAATGTAAAACTTTCACATGATTGGGAATGCGCAATAATTAAAATATTTTGGGAGTCTGCGCTAACAGAAATAAAGGACATCCTTTGTCAGAGCTCCAGAGAGACCCTTTTGCAACAGTATCCGGATACTGCAAAAGACTAATTTCAAAAGACAACCAAGAAACAATAACATCAGCAAAGATGGAAAGTGGAAAAATTCCCTACACTGTTAATAAATTCCTGGCTCTCCAGAGTTTAAGAAATGGGTTATACAGTATGTCTAAGCTTGTAAACTTAAAAGTAAGAGAAGGAAGACAACTTCTTTCTATTTTATTGGAATAACGAAGGGCAAGAACAAACAAATGCATATACAGTAAATTGTTAGGAGACGTTTTGAAACATGAAACTTTACTTTTATAGCAGATTTTCATTTACTCTTTCACTCTAAATGACTGACAAGAGTGCAATACAAAATATATTAACATATATACCTCAATTTTCACAACTGATACTTATCAGTTATAAATAGGATCAGTTCAGTATCTAATACATTAAATTATTTAACATTAAGTACAGTATTGTCTCATGTACAGATAATTTATATAATACTATTTTATGAATATACTTTTCCTTTGATCTTTTTGAATAACAAATAAAAACATACTTCTTTGCTAGGGCAGATTTAGAACTGAGTCCTGGCATTGTGCAATTTTCATTTTTATGGCTCCACCATGAGGGTTTGCTTCTGATGCAATACCACAAACAGACAGGAAGTAATAATATTGGAAGCTGCCTTATATCAGGACAGTCTATTTGTCCACCTAGCTGAGTATTCTCTACTCTGACTGACAGCAACTCTCCAGGGTCTCAAGAGGAGGTCTTTTCGATCAGCTGATACTTTTAACTGCAGATGCCAGGGTCTGAAGTTGAAACCTTGTGCAGGCACAGCGTGTGTTGCACCACTGAGCTATTTCACACACTTAACTAATACCCTCTTTTCAGCATGAGCCATAAAGTACCTTATTTTTTTTCCTTTCACTTGTGATTTAAAAACCCTAAAATCCAGGGGCAGGTCACATCTGTTTACAGGATGTCTCATCTTGCCCCTGTTCCTGTACTGCTTATGCCAACTACCATAGCTATTTCTATGGCTACTGCATCTGCAGGAAACCTCATGACCAGGAGCTCCGATGTAGCCAGACCAGTTATTTAGAGCTGTGTACACATTCGGGCCTAAGAACTCTCTTCAGGCTCAGAAGGCTGCATGCAGTACAAAAGCTCTGACATGGCTAGTGTGAGTATAAATACTAGGTGCATTGGCTTCTGCCCATTTCCTAGTCGATAAGATCAGTACTTTATGCCTGTTGGACTTTAGACTCACCCTCAATCCTTCATCCTACCTCCAGCAACTGATCTCAGGGCTCAAGTCCTGGTAATGCAGCCCTCTACCCTAGCCTGGCTCACAGCCAGACTTCCTATTAGGTAGAATGAGATTCTTGCCTCAGGCTGCTGATTTTGGGTGTCATGAAAAGGCATTATTTAATCTACTGATGTTCTATTTTTACTGCCAGAAAGAGAGGTGCTTCTGGGATTTTTTTTACCTGAAATGAAATGCCAAAGTAGCTTGACCAGCCTTGGTTGGGTACTATGCAACTTGACTGGGAGAGGACATCATTTACTGCTTCATTGTAGGCAGAAATATGTATTGAACCACCCTTGCCAGACATGGGAGGCTATAGCATCAGTTGGCATGGAGACGTACAAAAGATGTTTAGTTTTAGTTTTAACTAGCGTTTAGTTTTAACTTACAACTAAAGTCACTGTTGTAACCTCTATTTCATACAGGTGGAAATTCCTTTTGCCATTTTGAAAAGATAGGGTTTTTTCTCTCTTGCTAAATAAAGAATAGGAGTTCCCCGATTAAACGTGGTTAGTTTGAGAAAAACTCCCAAGCTAATGACTCAACTATGCTCTTGTCCCTTCTCTGGATGGAAGAAATCAACA